ATATTTGAATATAAATATAAATTTATTTTTGCTTATGGCACGTAGAAAAGTAATAGTTATTAACAAAATCAATAGTTTTATGATAAAATCATAAAATAAGAGGGTAGTCAAGCTTAATATTAAGTTAAGTGGCGTATTAAAAAAAATCACTTGGTATTTTTAGGACAAAATTCAAAAATATTTAGAGACAAGATCTAATAATAAGTAAGGCAAATTAGACTTTATCAAATTTAATTTAAAGGTATAAATCAAATAAGATTGAATACTGTTTTCGTTGCAAATAGATTCAAAACTTTCCAAAAATAAGAATTTCTATTTTAGTAATTATTTACTAACCACATAATTCATTTCCTTCCATTTCATATTTTTTTTAGAAACATCATGTAAAAAAAAACTCGATAGTGGAACTATCGTTGTAAAAATTTTGAGGTAAGATTTTTTTAATAAAAAATTAGGATAGAAACACACACTTTGAAATATGAGTAATAAGCGAAAGTTACTATTGAATAACTTTTATATTTATTTGTATTGTACTATAATGTATATGGTAAAAATAAATAGTAAATGTAAACATCTCTCTCTCTATATATAAGAAATAAATTTTCCAATTTTAATTAAGCCAAGTGACAAGTTATAACAAGACAAGTGAATATTTATTAAGAAGACACTTGGAAACCTTATTAAATTAAAATTAAACTATATGTTGTATTATGCAGATATTTCGGGAAACAAACATCCAAGCATCCCATTTATATCGGCTCTTTATAGAAAATTTTCTTTACATAAAGTTAATTATATTTTTTTAGGATTAATAAATTAAAACACATGTCGTACATATATTCTATACGTTCTTATCGCTATCTCTTCCTTAAAAATTTGCCATAGAATTAATAATAATGAGATTAATCTATATATCTTATATTATTTTCTTAAGCCATATCAACTTACTTCTTTTTCAAGCTTTTGAATGAAAAAACAAACAAACAAAATCTTATCCAAGCTTTTGAATAGGAAAGGGAAACTACAAGGATGAAAAAAAATACCTCAAGTTTTTGGTGAAGTATAAGAAAATATAAACGCATGCTCCTTTTTTTGTCTATTATTGATNTTCTAAACTGATATTTTGACTGCCTTCTCAGTGGCACCTTCTTTTATCCCCGTAACACTCATACAATATCTTTAGCTACCCCGACTCTTGTTTGAATATATTTCAAGTATTATAATGGTATTCTTTGAGGATGAACTCTCCATGTTGGGTTCTACTTTGTTTATCTCACACGGTTTGATGACTCGTCTGTAACCTCCTGTTTAGCTATAATTGGGATCTTCCTGAACAATTACTAACTACTCGTTGACCCATTCTCATATCAATATTCCTTGTAATCTTTCTTGGGTTATTTCCTTTGTCTTAACTTACGTCTCACACATGCTCTTTATTTATTAATAACAGTTCAGGCAGGAACCTTTACTTCCTCTCCTTGACGTCATGCTTGCACAATATTCTTGAATCGGAGCGTATCTGTAAGATTTGGATAAGTGCCGTTTCATTCCTCTTTTATTTATCGCATTCTTCATTTACCATTCCATAGTCACTAGAACCACTTAATTCTGACATAATACCACATCATTCCATATTCCACCCTTTTAGGGGTGTATTAAGAGCTGAAGCTACGATGATCTACCTATAGATGTGTTACCTCTTTATCATTGGCGTCTTTTCACATCATCAATGACCCTTACTCTCCTTGCGGCAATCCTTCTGTACCAAGGATAACAAAGTTCCTCACTCGCGATGGTAAAATTTAGTATAGCTGGCACATACAGTCCCTTAAACTGAACTTTGCTCACATTGCTTGTTGTAGGGAAACGTCTTCCTGAATAACCATTCTCTGGGTTTCTCATGAATCTTCCTCTGTGGTCTATTCTATTATCACCGGAAATCAATATGAAGTTCTCATAATTCCGACCACCATCAAATTACTCAGTCCCTAATTCATATTTAGTTCGTCTTTTTCCACCAGTCCATGCTGAATTCAATTACTCTGGGGTCTAACTTTTTCTTCTGAATCACGTTAGCATCGCGAACTTGTTTCTCGAAGTGAGGATATGACTTTATGGCCTATACTCTTTTGTTGTCCTAAGGCCTGTCACTTCTCGTTTCTTCCTTCACTTGACTATAGATTTTGTAACATTGTCATCTTTTGATATACCGTTGTCATCCATGTATCACATCTTACTCATAATGCTTTATTAACTCTTTTATAATTTCCCGCTAACATTTATGCTTATTACTTTATTTTAAAAACTTGAACAAGAGATTCTTTTGCTCTTAGCTTCCCTTTGCTCTATCCAATGGTTCTTCAAGTTG